GAGCTCATGGAGAGCGACCAGAAGGGTCCGATCAACCTCGGCAACCCGCACGAGATCACCATCATGGAGCTTGCGACGACCATCATCCGTCTCGCGGGCTCGACGTCGACGCTTGTGTGCATGGCGTCGCCCAACGACGACCCAAAGCGCCGCAAGCCCGACATTGCATTGGCCAAGTATCCCAACTTGATGCTCTCATTTAGCTGTGCGAGACTCACGTATCTGCGTTGTAGAGAGCACCTCAAGTGGGAGCCGACGGTCGAACTCGAGGCGGGCTTGATGCAGACGATCGAGTATTTCCGCGGCTTGGACATGCGCTTCTACCGCAAGCCGACGCCCCACACTGCGCACCAGAGCAGCGAGATGGACCAGGCGCTGTAACTCTGCACAAGACAACAACTTGTGGTGCATTCAATGCATTGTCGTGGTTAGTGCAGACGCAAAGGGTGGCGGAAAGCGCGGGGAGTCTTTGAGCGTGGCCTGCACCGCCCTGGACAACGGGCACATCAGCGAGCGTGAGCACATGGGACAAGCATCATTGCGACGTCGCAGCCGAGTAGTTGTGCTCCGACTGCTCTTGCTTCTTGGCTTCCGCGGCCGCCGCTTCGCGCGCCTTTCGGAGCCCCATGACACCGTCGCCAGAGCCAATCTTGGCACCGCCAAACTTGACGATGATGACACTCATGTTGTCGCGGCTACAAGGACACGTGGAGCCACAACACATGCCACAGACGTGTACCTGCCAAGCTGGAGACAGTGGTCCAGCATCTCTTCGCAGATGAGTCCCATATTGGTCTCGCCCTTGAGCATCAAGCCACGAACAAAGTCGCACGCTTCTTCGTTCGTCATGACGTCCCAAATGCCATCGCAGGCCAAGATGAGAAACTCGTTCTCCTTGTTGCGCACTTCAATTTTGATATCCGGCTCGGCCGACACCTACATGACGCAGGTTGCATACTGCAAATCGCGTGCCTATTGCTCATACCTGCTGCTCTTCGGCCTTCAGGTCGCTGCGTTGCTTGTACACAAAGTCGCCCAAGGCACGCGACACCTAAGGAACCGACGTCATGAGCACAGGTAGATGGGTTGCGTGCAAGGAATGCTTCATACAGCAAGGTCACCGTTCACGCGGTTGTTGCGGACGGACCCGCCCGCGTTCTCAATGCGCCGCCTTTCCGTCTCGTTGTTGGGCTTGTGGTCGTACGACATGGGCACGACCGACCCGTCGGTCGCGAGCACACTGCGCGAGTCGCCCGAGTTGGCCACAATGATGTGCGAGTGCGTGACGAACGCTGCGATGGCTGTGCAGCCACTGTGGTCCTCGCCACTCGCAATCTGCTTCAACTGCCGGTGGTCGGCGTCGAGCTGGAGAAAGGTGCGGTCGAGCGCCTTGCCAATGTCCGCCGGGTCGGCTTCCTTGCCGTTGATGCTCTGCTTCTCGAGCACATCCGCCAACGACATGGCGCTGTGATCCGCAATGAGCTTGCCACCGTGGCCGTCAAACACGGCAAAGATCGAGCAGTTGTCAAACGCCGGGATCGTCGTGCGCGCAATGTGCGCGTCTTCCATGGTCGCTCGCCAGCCCTGCATGCAGCTCACTGCGTAGGCGAGGCCGTTGCCCATGCCCACATGCGTCTCCTTCTCCGTAATGGGGCTGCTCAGGAAGTTGCCCATGGCGTCGCTCGAAGGGTCTTCGTCTTCGACGGCAAGAGGGGATTTCGTTCCGAAAAATTGATCGCATGGAATTATATCCAATGCGAGCTCGATAAAATCTATCACGTTGACATACAAACAACAAGACGCTATTTTGTTTGATAAAATATTTAGCTGGAATAAAATGGAAGGCCTGGATATCCGGATATGGTCATCGTAGGGTCTTGGAGCAAGCGGCCAACAACCCTGCGCGAATCCCGTTGGCAGTTGAGCCTTCTCGACCTCTTGAGGCCAGCACTTGGTCTCACCTTCTTCATGGCATTGCCCAACATGCTCGCTGGTGGGGCTGGCCAGTGCTTGACCACCCCCAACACAGTGGTTACTCGTTACCTTCCGCAAGACCTTGCACTCGAGTGCAGAGTGCAGTGGAGAGAGTGCGTCCATCGCTTCTTGCCAGCAACGACGGACCGGCCAATCCTTTCTCAGTATCGTCTCAATTCGACCCAGTGTTCAAACAGAATCTGTATCGAATGTGAGAGGGAATCCAAATGAGTGGTGCATCGGCGCCTCGGCGTGTGAGGTCACTTTTGCTTTTCCACGATGGCTTACACGTTGTACGCGCCCCAGGCCGGCTCCCGCGCCTTCAAGATCTTGATCGCTGCCGAATACAACGGCGTCGACCTCAACGTCCCCGAGACGTTCGTCATGGGCGTCGACAACAAGACGCCCGAGTTCCTCGCGCTCAACCCGCTCGGCAAGGTCCCGGTCCTCGCGACCCCCGAAGGCCCGATCTACGAGTCGAACGCGATCGCTCGCTACGTCGCGCGCCTCCGCGCCGACACGGGCCTCACGGGCAAGACCTTCTACGAGTCGGGCCAGGTCGACCAGTGGGTGGACTTCGTCACGAACGAGATGGAGACGCCGCTCGGCGCCCTCCTGTACCCGATCTTCGGCTACGCCAAGTACAACCACGACGTGCACACGAAGGCCCTCGAGGACATCAAGAAGTCGCTCCACATCCTCGAGAACCACTTGCTCCTCCGCACGTACTTCGTCGGCGAGCAGGTCACGCTTGCTGATATCTGCGTCTTCGGTGCCTTGATCTACCCGTTCAAGTTCATCTTTGACAAGGACTTCCGCAAGCCGTTCTCGAACCTCTCGCGTTGGTTCTCGACGGTCGCCAACCAGCCCGAGTTCGCCGCCATTGTCGGTGACGTCCCGCTCTGCGACGTCGCCACGGTCGCCGAAGGCGCCCCGGTCAAGGAGGCCAAGAAGGCCGCCGCCCCGGCCAAGAAGGAGAAGAAGGCCGCCGCCCCCAAGGACGACGACGATGATGTCTTCGAGGCCCCCAAGGAGAAGAAGGTCGAGCACCCGCTCGCCATCCTCAACCGCGAGTCGCCGGCTTCGATGAAGCTCGATGACTGGAAGGTCTGCTACTCGAACACCAAGGACCTCTCGAAGGCCATGGAGTGGCTCTGGGCCAACGTGGACACGAAGGACTACTCGTTCTGGTTCATGAAGTACAACTACAACGAGGAGAACAAGAAGATGTTCATGACGTGCAACGCCGTCGGCGGCTTCATCCAGCGCTCGGATGCCATGCGCAAGTTCTCGTTCGGTGTCATGGACGTCCTCGGCGCCGAAGGTGGCCTCATCGAAATCGTCGGCTGCTGGATGTTCCGCGGCCAGACCGCTGAGCACATGATCGAAGCCAACCCGGATGCCGAGTACTACACGTGGACCAAGGTCGACACGCTCGACGACGCCGCCAAGGCCCGCATTGCCGCCTACTGGTGCAACGAAGACGACCTCGAGGGCAAGCCCATCGCCGACGGCAAGGTCTTCAAGTAAATCGTGTAATCCAATATGCGCCTTCGCTGTAGATGAGATCAATTAATTAATAGGGTTGCTGTAATATATCCTATGTCAACCCCAATGACCCCTCTTCACGCATCTCTCGCGTACGCGAGGACCACGAGCTTGCGCGTCCATTTGTCGCGGTGCAGTCGCGCTCTACGTGTGTCTGTAGCATTATCCAGCGCTGACGACGCACCGCTCGGCCTCGGCGCGTCGAGCTGCGTCCCGCGCCGCAGCGCGTCGCACTTTATCCTCGGCTTTCTTGCGCTTGAGCCACAGCCGATACGCCGCATCGACTTGCGCCGGCGCGTGCTGGGTCACCTTCTACACAAGGCAACACTTGCATTGGCCTGCAGCCATGGAGGTCTCGGTACGGAGTTCGTGGTCGGTGCCGGCGGCGGTCCAGCTGCCGTAGCTGGCTTCAGTCGCCGCGGATCGAACCGCGGCTTGAACGCGGGTGCAGCGTCTGTAGCACAAGGCGGTGGTCTCTTGGGCTTGGATTGAAGCCATTGTTGAAAGTTGGCTTCGATCTCGGCGGCGTCGGTTCGGGGTTTGTCGACCTCGGGCGCTGGCAACGCTTTGGCGCGTTGCTTGGCATGAAGCCACGAGGCAAATGCTGCATCCCGTTGAAGCTACCGCACTGGCGTCAGTCCTATGTGTACTACTATGCGCGACGCACGTGATCGAGAACGTCGGTGGTGACGTCGTGTCGGGGCGCCGCGCGCCGCTCTTCCCAGTGCCACGTCGACCGCATCTTGCCAAGGTCGTCGTCACTGCGGATAAAAACCACGTTCTAAAATTATCCGCTTTAATTGTCGTCGGCGTCGGCGACGGCGTACGCAGCGATGGCTTCGCGGACGACGTCTTTTGCGTGGGGCACGTTGCGCCGCATGACGCCGAGGGCGTCCATGCGCAACGGCGCGGCGACGCGCGCCTTGCCTTCGTCCACGAGGATGCGCAGGCCAAAGAGAAGAGCGTGCGCCTCGCATTTGGAGTCGCAGACGAGCACGACCTCCTTCTCGAGCGTGCTCAAGACGACGCCGTACTCGAGCGTCTACAAGCTCTTGACGTCATTATGCATGGAATGGGAGAATGACCTGCTTCACATGCAGTCCGAGGCGCGACTTAAGCAGAATCGGCGATTCGAGCGTGAGGCTGCTGCATGCGGCGAGGATCAACGTCTTGCGCGTAGGCTTGGCAGGGTACGTCCACTGCAGCTGGGCCCCGGTGCGGTCGACGCTAAAGAACTTGAGTTTGGGCGTGTGCTTGTAGCGCGAGCTGAGCTATGGGATGCAGCACCGTAGCACGACGAAGGAATGAGGTGTTCAAACCTTCTTGATGGACACGCCGCTCTGCATGGTGTGGACAAAGTGAATGAAGCGCGTGTGGTCGTCCTCGACCATGCCGATCTCGGCCAGCGTAAAGTAGTCAGCGGCCGCCACGGGGGTCGTGCCCGTCTCGACCTAGATCGATCATGGTCTCAAATTGCCAGCAAACGGGGATGACCTTGACAGGCCGCTCGTGGTTTTGGAGCAAGCGTTCGCGGTACTGGCGGTACGCGCGCTGGATGACGTGCGCGGCGCGGTGCCGGACCTGGACTTGCTTCATCTCGACGAGAAGCTTGATATGCCGGGTCCTACATCATTGCATGTAGCATCCTCATAGTACGCAAGCAGCAAAGAACGCACTTGCGTTCCGTGGCTTGGAGCTGGCAGAAGGTCTCGAGCGTCCGCTCAGCCTCGGGGTGCTGCAGGCCCAGCGAGAGGCGCCGGCGGTGGGCCCGAGTGCGCGCAAGGAAGCCCCGCGCAAGCGCCTGTAGCTTGAGGCAGGCCATCTCCGCGCTCAGCACGGGCGGACTGTAGATGTCCTTGGTGCTGCGCGAGATCTCGGGGCCGCCACGGTAGATCTTGTGAAAGAACTTCCACGCTACGCCAGCGCTCTTTTGAGCCAAATCCATGAAGAGGATGCGCCCACCTGCAGCACTCAGGCAGCGGTATTGACGGGGCATGTGCAAATTCTTGCGCGGTGTCATGTGCTCGGTCAAGAGATTCCCGTTGGAGATGGACCCGGGCGGCGCGGTCTCGTGGTTGCCCAGCACGAACTTGCGCCAGCGCTGCATCCACTCGGCGTCAATCATAAAGACGATCGAGCCTGCAACGCGTGAGCATATACATGGTCAATACACCACCTGAGATCACAGATCACCTTCCAAGACGGGGCACATGCGGTTCAGGCACTCGGCCGAGAAGCCTTCCTCCTCGGCGCGGACGCGGCCAAAGTCGACTTCAAGGAACGCCATGATGTCGGTGGAGAAGAGCCCGCGGGTCACGAGCAGCTGGATGATGCGTGAGAGGTATATGATAAGATCTCGTGCGCGGTCCGCGGGCATGGCTAGCTTGTACTTCCACGTCTGGATCGGAAGCTACATGCAGACAAGCCAATTCGACCTTGCGTGTCATCGCAATGAGGAAACCCACTGTCGGGATCACGGGCAGCTTGTGCATGAGCGCTTCGTGGAGCCGCTTGAACTCTGAGTAGCGCCGCCGCACGACGTGCTTTCGCATGCAGTAGTGCACGTTGATGACGTAGTTGACGTACGGCAGCTGCCACGGGCTCTGCGCGCGCTCCATACAGGCCATCGACACATCGAGCATGGCGCAGGCGCGAATGCTGCGGCTCGGGTGCTCGGCCGGGTCGTCGACCGAAGCGTCCATTGAGTGCAGGAGCGGCAAGATGTCGCTGGCGCGGTACGTCTTGCGCGCCAGCGGGATCGAGTGGAGGAACCGGTACGCAATCGCCTTCTTGAAAAAGTCATTGTCGAGCTCTATCCCGAGCGACCGCTTGAGGCTGATCTCGCGATAGACCTGCACGATGCGCTCGATGGGCGAGCCCGCGGCGAGGCCCAGCTCGTCCCACGCGTTGGCGGCGATCTCGCGCACGTCGGCCCCGTCCGCTGCGCCCATGCGGTGCGACTTCAACTCCCCCAAAGATCGGGCGGGTCGTATCCGGATGACCAGATTCTTCCGGATTGGCGGCCCGGGACGCCGCCAGCCGCGGCGATTTTATAACTTGGTGTTTGTATACAATTCTTTGGGGATGCGACCCAAGTTGAAGTTGGGACCGGCGAAAGATCGCGGAATCAGGCTTTCCGGGATTTGACCGGGAATTTGGCAAGATTTCCCCCGTTTCACTCATAACCGCATATTGCTTGTCGAGCACACACGTGGCATGGCGTCGCTCAAGAAGGTCTCGACGCTCGGGAAGCGCAAGAAGTCCATCGACGGTAACCACATGCGCGATGCGGTGGAAGGTTGACGCGTGGTATGTGTAGCCGAAGACGTCCGCAAGATTGAAGACAAGGACCTCTTTGACCCAAAGAGCGTCTACGTGTCACTGACGTCGCATGCCGAGACGTTTGGCGTCGAGCCCGTGCGCATCATGGTACGAGCATATCAAGTAGAGAGAGGCTCAAGCCCAAATGACAGTGGGGCCACGAGAGCCCGGATGCCCGCGGTCCCGTCATCGGGACGCACCGCCACGACAAGTACCGAAACGCGATCGGTGCTCATGGTGGCTCGTACTGTGTCTACCGTGGCCTGGCGGTACGACGTGTTGAAGAGCCTATCGGTGGATCATGCAAACGACTAGGTTGCCGCGGGGGCCATGGATGCTACGTCCACGCCGGACCTCTCCAAGACAACGCCGGCAGCCAAGATTGGTCCTTTCCCATCGTGGGGCGACCCCGAGAAGGTACTCTTGTCGCCTTGGAAGCGCGGAACTCAATCTATCGAGCCAGATTGTCACAATGGATCCGTTTGGTCACTGCGTCTTGGAGGCCTTCCCGGAGCACTTTGAGAAGGGCTATGACATTCGCCCGACGATTGCCGGTAAGACCATCCTGCAGTGCGGATGGGATCCTGAGCTTGCGTTGCAGTCACGAAAGCGCACATGGATCTGCAAGAAATCCACGATGCTGTCCAGAAGGGCCGCTTGAAGCCCGACGGGAAGGTCCTCAAGGACACCTGCCAGCTCGTCATCACGAAGGCAGCGATCGACCCGGTGTGGTACTTGCCCGGCGTCGCCAAGCGCTTCAACACGACCGAGTCGAACCTGCGCCAAATGATCTTCCAGGAGACAAATGGCATGTACCCGGAGCTCGTGACGCGCAACGACCTCAAAATCTTCTTGCCGCCGATCGGTGGTCTCACCATCTACATTTTTGGCGACGTCAAGGCGATCGCGGACCCGACCAAGAAGCTCGCGGTGCGCGTGCACGACGAGTGCAACGGCTCGGACGTCTTTGGCTCGGACATTTGCACATGCCGCCCGTACTTGACGCACGCCATTGAGGTCTGTGTCGAGACGGCGCAGCAGGGCGGGTAGGCTATTACTCTACCATGCACGCGGACGAGACATCTCATGAACGATGTTAGCGCCGGCGTCATCATTTACTTTCGCAAGGAGGGCCGCGCGCTCGGCGAAGTGACCAAGTACTTGGTGTACAACCTGCGCAAGCGCCAAGAAGGCGGCGACAGTGCGGCCGAGTACTTCAACTGCACGCAGGCCGTCGCCGGCATCCAAGACGTTCGCTTCCAAGCGCTCATGCCCGATGCGCTGCACTGGCTCGGCATCACCAAGATCGACAAGTTTGTCTCGATGAGCGACATGAAGTACGACGCCATCGTCAACTCGGTAGGATTTGCCGTGTGGAATTACGCCTGGGATCTGATGATCATTAGGGCATTGAGATCGTCGAGCGCATTCCGATCCCAGAGGAGCTTGTGCCCAAGGACGCGCAAGTCGAGATTACGGCCAAGGTCTTTGCTGGCTACAACGGCGGCAAGGTCTTCAAGAAGCTCGACAAGGACGAACTCAAGCAGGTCAAGGGCCGCGGCGACGACGACTACGAAGTCGATGCGGCCGAGTAAGAAGCACCTACGATGGCGGGTGCCGTTTGCGACCTCCCGCACGACTTAGTCGTCCTTCCGACCTATTAACCCCTCCGCAATGCAAGCATGGCACCCTCTCGCTTACCATCGAAGTCGGTGTAGGTAGAGACAGGGATACATGAGATTTGGCGGGTTAGACATTGATGGCGTCGACGTCGTCCATCATCAAGGCTTCCTTCTGGCTCGCCAAGATCGGGTCGATGCACTCGGTGACAAACTCGGTGACCTGCTCAGGCGACCGGCCGACAAAGAGCTTCGGGTCCAAGAGCGAGTCGAGGTCCTTGTGCACGGACGCGAAGCGAGCGTCTTTGGCGATGCGCTCGAGCAAGTCGTTGGCGGCACCTTCCTCCTTGACGCGGCGGCCGGCGGCCATCGAGTGCTCGCGAATGGCTTCGTGGAGGTCCTGGCGATCGCCGCCGGCCTTGACGCAGGCCATGAGGATGTTCTCCGTGGCCATGAACGGCAGCTCGGCCTTAATGTGCGCGGCGATGACATTGGGCCACACCTGGAGGCCGTCCGAGACGTTGGCGATCAGGTTGAGGATGACGTCCGTGGCCAAGAAGGCTTCCGGGAGGACGATGCGGCTACACGGCAGAGTCACATGAGCATTCCATTCGATATAGAGATAGGAAAGCGTACCGGTTGGCCGAGTCGTCAAGCGTGCGCTCAAACCACTGCGACGCGTGCGTGTGGCCGGCGTTGTCGGTGAGCGACATGACGTAGCGCGCGAGCGAGCAGACGCGCTCCGAGCGCATCGGGTTGCGCTTGTATGCCATCGCGGACGAGCCAATCTGGTTCTTCTCGAAGGGTTCCTCGATCTCCTTCATGTTGGCGAGGAGGCGGATGTCGCCGGCCATCTTGTACGCCGACTGCGCAATGCCCGAGAGGATCGAGAGCACGAAAAAGTCGATCTTGCGCGTGTACGTCTGGCCCGAGACAGGGATGACGTGCTCAAAGCCCATCTGCTCGGCCACGAGGCGGTTGAGCTGCTTGACCTTTTCGTGGTCGCCGTTGAAGAGCTCGAGGAAGCTCGCCTGCGTGCCCGTCGTGCCCTTGACACCGCGGAGCGGCAGCGTCTTGATCTGGTTCTCGAGGCGCTCATAGTCGAGGAGGAAGTCCTGGAGCCAAAGCGTCGCGCGCTTCCCGACCGTCACGAGCTGCGCGGGCTGGAAGTGGGTAAAGCCCATGGTCGGCATGTCCTTGTACTGGACGGCAAAGTCGCGGAGGACCTTCATGACCTTAAGCAGCTTGCGCTGGATAAGCTCGAGGCCCTGCTTGAGCTGGATGATATCGGCGTTGTCGCCGACGTAGCACGAGGTCGCGCCGAGGTGGATGATGGGCATGGCCTCCGGGGCGGCCTTGCCAAAGGCGTGGACGTGCGCCATGACGTCGTGGCGGAACTTCTTCTCCATCTCGTCCGCGTACGCGTAGTCGATGTCGTAGATGGCCTTCTCCATCGCGCGGAGCTGCTCGTCCGTGATGGCGATGCCGAGCTTCTTCTCCGAGCGCGCGAGCGCCAGCCACAGCTTGCGCCACGTCGAGAACTTGGTGTGGGGCGACCACACGAGGCTCATCTCCTTCGTGGCGTAGCGGGACACGAGCGGGTGCTCGTAGCGGGTCTTGTCGTCGGTCATTTTGCAAAATGCAGAAGGTTTCCTGAAAAAAAGATCGTTTACGAACCATTGGGATGTGCCCCGCGAGGACCAGTGGTGCCAAACCATGCTAATGAAGGAGCCAATCACACGCGAGGGATGGGCAACATTTCAGCCAATCACGCGTGCGATGACACGACAACCTGCCACGACACATCGCGCTAAGCTTGTGTCAGATCTTGGTCGGAAGGAGTGAGACGCGAGGTGCGTGGGCCCAGCGCAGCCCTGCACGCTCGCCATACGCGCTGGCATGAGCCGAGCCGAATGCAGACCGACGGTAAGCTCGCCTCGGCCACGTCGCGGTTCCCCACGGGACCAACGTGTCGGTCGAGTAGGCATCGAATACGTGCATCAGACGCTGTTCTGGCGCGGTGATCGTCCCTTGCCGCACGCCGCCGGCTATGAATACGCCGCAAACCGCATTCGCAAGGCATGCTAGATCTCCCTGTCCAATGTCGCCCACCTGATCGATGGGTTTTTGCCTCCTGATGGATCTGTACCGCTGTCTGCTGCGTTAAGATCCAAGATGCGCTCAGCCAGCTCGTGGCTTTTGCTTCACCACACCTTGTCCGTCGGTGGCGGGTTGGCAGCGCTTGCCGAGCAGCCACCTCGTCGCAGCCCGAATGCCTACCACGATGTGCACGCTACCTCGAGCATTCACACTCCAACTTCCATCGCACCAAGAGTTTGGTACAAGCATTAAGCTGCGGAGAAGATTCGTGTAAAATCATATTTTTCCAAATCCATCTCCGAGACAAGATGCGATCCTTTTTATCCGGACACTACGTGGCACCCACACTCGCCACGTGACGATTCTTTGACGTCATTGCCACCCAAGATGAAGGGTCACGATGCTGAGAGGCTCTTGAGTGATGCGCGCGAAGGACAGATCTTCAGCGCCGCTCGATGCAAGCAGGCTACTGGTGTATGGAGCGTGAACGAAGGGGGTACTAGTATATGGGTTGCATCTTCGGCAAGAGTCGCTTTCTGATGACGCCTGTCATCGAATCTGGGCAGGACACGAACGAATCCACGAACCGAGGTCTATACACGACGTCTGAATGGACTTTGCGACGACAACGGCCTTGTTCAGAGCAATCCCCGAATGAATACACTGTACGGTTCGCAGTAATAATGTCTACTCGACTTCGCAGACTATTCCAAGCATGCGTTGGTTGTATACATACAAATATATGGGAACCGCAGCGAGAACCGTGCCGAGACGATATCCTCCGTGCACCATCCCCGTCCCTTTGCGAAGCGAGGGACTTGGGCTCGGGGCTTCCAGCGGCCGCGCGAACGATGGTCCACCTAAGATCGACCGAATTCTTGCTCGTTGAGATAACGCCTTGGTGTATGTTGCGCGTAGTGTGTCTCTGCACTGTCAGGAGTCATCGTTGGGTTGCGCCTCGCCGACGAAAAATGAATCCACTAGCCACGAAACATCTGGTTCGATGCGTTTATCTATTTGTTCAAATAAAACGCGAGAATCTCAAATCTCAATACAAAGCGCAGGTCATTTATCCCGACCGATCCTGCGCTGCACTTTGTTCCAGATTTGACATTGCACTTTTCGAAACCCGCGATGCTCAACTTTCGCGGCGACGTCTTAAGCCGGTCCCTCCCGCTGCCCTTCACGCTGCCATCGAGCCAGCCTGCGCCACGCAGCCCCCGCGCCGTCTGGCCACTTCGCAAATGTGCCCGTGCGCTCTACCTCATCGTTGCGATCCTCGGCGTACTCCTTCTCGCTACGCGAGAAGCCCGCGAGCCGGCACCATCGAAAGGCGTCCAGCGGCAATATCTCCAAGGACGCAAGATCTTGATCGCAGCCAACTACTTCAACAACATGGACTTGCTCGACGCTCACTGCGACGAGGTATACAAGGACAACGGATTAACCCATGGCTAACAACGTGGGAGTTTAGATGGCACTGCTGCTTGACGCGCTCGTTCTTGCGGGCGCCACGCCGTACGTGTCCGTGTACGAGAACGGCTCCAAGGACGAGACCCCGGCGTTTCTTCGCGAGTGGCAGCGGCGGCTGGACGAGCGGGGCATCGCCAACACGATCAACATCGACGACGCGCCGTCCTGGAGCACGGTCTTTGAGGAGAGGAAGAAGAATGGCACTGTCAAGGGCGAGGACGAAATGGCGATTCGCATCGGGTACGCATCACCTACCATTAAGATCGTAGTTGCTCAACGATCAATGGTGTAGGGCCATGGCCGACATCCGCAACAAGGCGCTCGCACCGCTCGATGCGTCATTCGACGACGTCCTCTTCTTCAACGACGTCATCTTCCTCGCCGACGACATTCTGCGTCTCCTGCTCACCGGTCGCATGGAGTACGACGTCGTGTGCAGCATGGACTTTAACCGCATCACGTTCTACGATACGTGGGTCGCGCGCGACGTCAACGCCGAGCGCATGGCGTCGCTCTACCCGTTCTCGGCCGACATTGTGACACAGGGACTCATTGCGCACGGCCGGCCGTTCCCAGTCTCGAGCTGCTGGAACGGCGTCGTGGCCATGAAGGCCGCGCCGTTTCTTAAGCATAAGATCCAGTTTCGCACGTGGCAGGCACAAGAGCCGCGGCTCCTCGGGCGACCAAGCGCGCTCCAGGGTGTTGTCTACAACGACTCGTGTCCCGCGTCCGAGTGCCTCCTGGTCTTCGAAGACCTCAGCCGGTTTGGCTACAACCGGTTTTACATGCACCCGACCGTGCACGTGACGTATTCGAGCGTTGACTGGGTGCTGCATCGGACGCTTGGCGGTGCGCTCAACCTCATCGCGTCTTGGACGCTCACGTTGCAGCCGCACGGCCGCGTGCCACCGGGGCACCGCATCCCGCAGTGCGGCTTGGCTCGCGAGGTCACGCTGCAGTCGTGGGTCATTCCCGCCACTCTGTGCCTCAAGGTCATTGTTGCGTGGCGTGTCCTGCGCTGGGTGCGCCCCGGCAAGCTCGCGGTCGAGTGAGCGTATGTCAATGTAAGCTCAGTGTACTCAGTGTATTTAGCCAACCTATAAAACTTCTCCAACATAGACTCATTTTGTGGACTCGTTTCTCGACTAGCACAGCCAAGTGGAAATAAGAAATTAGTTTCTTTGCTCGCGTAAACCCATACTAGAACTCGCGTTCGAGTTGGAGGCTTTTGGCCAAAGGAGGCCTAGGACGGTTGGCACACTGCACAAGTGCCCGTGAGGTAACTCGAAAGTTGTCGTGGAGGACGTTTTATCTCGGGCTCGGCAGCACCTGAACAATCGGAAGCAGGGTCCTATAACCGCCGTCCCCGACTTGGTCTACGACTACACAAGAACTGTCACCGACAGCCAGCACCAGACAAAACAGTACACACGTCGTTGTGATGGTTCATACCGAGTGTTCCCGTGTTCCCGATAAATTGACCAGCGACTACGTCTTGGCCTTCACTGGCAGATCAAATCGAGCAGAAGAGCCGCCGATGAGCAGTACCAACAGTACAAACAACCGGTCTTTCCACGGCAGTCTCAAGCCCTCGAGCCGACACGCGCGGTAGCGTCGACATTTCAGCAAGTAGCAATGACGTGTTAAGAGTTCGACTTGGTCTCGGCTGCCAAGGGTGCGCTATGACGACAAATACTTAACGCGGAGGCCGTCCGTGATGTCGAGAGGGGACGCCCGACGTGTGCTAAAGTCGCAGACGATCGTGTCGAGGCTGTTTGAACGTGCGTCTGGCTCGAGCATCGGGAGCGACTGCCGGTCTGAGGCGTGTTGACGCCGGAAGACGGCGACGGCGGCCACCATGGCGCAGTAGACGACGACGACGCCGACGGTAAACCAAATACCGATGTGCGTCTCGTCGACGCTCGAAGTGGAGGGCTGCTCGATTGCCGACGCGGTTTGCGCCGCCGCGCTGCCGCTCAAGGGGACCATGGATGCGAGTGTTTTTGTGCCCGTCCTACTCTGTCCCTCGTGACCAACGGCGACGGCCCATGATCGACACCTCCTGACTTGGTGTCGAGTGCCTGCAGTAGGCATCTAGTTTAGCGGGCGGTAGAAGTTTGCAGAGAGCTGCCGCCAAATGCTATGGCCGAATGATGATGGCGTGCCTGGCACCTGGGCGGCGTCACAGGCAACGCCACGTGAGCAAACCGTGTCGGCGTGCGTGTCGCGTCTCACTTGAGGCCAGAGGGAGCATGTTGGTCGACCATGTGTGGTGTATCTTTATCTCTCTGCCTTGTGCAGTGACTTGGTCGCTTGAACGCGGTGGCGCTGTAGTCTCTGGTCGATCGTATTTTGTCCGCTGGATATCATGAGCGATGCGAAGTAGTGGACGACATCGACCATGGTGCAGCGACGAAGGACTGCGTGTAGCCGCGTCGAGGGCGATGCCCATCACACTCGGATCCTGTGACGATACGTGCCAGAAGGCGCGCTGGATCCCGCGCGTTCTTCTCCAGGTGCAAGTCATTCCGCAATTGACCACCAATGCCGCACAAGAGCCTCGGCCTACTGCTGCTCGGGTCTGCTGTGGCGCAGGCTCGCCTCTCATACAACGGCAGCTCGTCCGGCAGCGCTGCTAACACAACAGCCACGTCTGACGGCTACACCCTCTACGGCGCGTGGTTCACCGCCGGAATCGTCGTCGTGTACATGGGGATGGTTGCATCCTTCATCCAGAGGTCGGCGCCCGACCACGACGTCACAGTGCGCGTTGGCCTCGACTCCAACTTTGTCAGCGTCCCCGTCCTTGAAGCCAAGTCATAGCAAAGAAGGACACATAGATCATATTTAAGTCGAGTTATAGCACTGGTGCTCAAGTTGGTCCCCTCATCAGTCTAACAACATAGTTTCTTCATGTTGATTGTTGTTGTCTCAGAGTAATCCGATAGAGTCAATCACTGGGGAATATAAGGAACACGAAATTTCGATCCTATTCTACACCTGCTATTAATACCTGCTCTAGTCGCTCGTCAGTTGGTCCCTCATCAGTCTAACAACATAGTTTCTTCATGTTGATTGTTGTTGTCTCAGAGTAATCCGATAGAGTCAATCACCGGGACGTGCTTCCTACGTTCGCAGCTAATTCGAAAGTGACTGTCAGAGGGCGACGAAGGCTTGCGAAGTTCCCGTATCCGGAACCCTACCTTCATACGGATAACGACCTTGGTATCTGCTTTTTCTACATGGTATCCGGAACCCTAGCCTCAGCTTGGAGTCTTGGTTGAAGAAGGAGCGTCGGGCGTGCTTCCCTCGGCCCCCTTATTCCTATTGCACAAGGACAATTTTGTCGGTTCATTATAAATCATATATTCGCATCGAGCTATGGCGAATCGTCGACTACAACGACGGCTTGACCTTGCTACGCAAATGAAACACGAGCATCATGGCCGTCGGGCGGGTGGACGGGTCCTTGTCGACACAGAGTGCAATCAATTCGCGCAGTGGCTGCGTCGACGAGCTCGAGAGCTCGGGGCGGAGACCGTCCTTGACAATGCGCTGGAGCAAATTGCTCTGCGTCGTCTCGCTGCGGCGGCCGCGGGATGACCGCCCTTCCGAGTACGGCAGCGCGCACGTGTCCAGCTCGCAGAGGAGGATGCCAAAGGCATAAATGTCGGCGGCCAGCGACGCCGCATGACCCGTGAGCACTTCGGGTGCAGTCCACTCCAGGTTGGTCATCGTCGCTCCGTTCGAGTCGGGAAGGAGCGGCGTCGGGTGCAGCGCCGCCGAGTTGACCTTGGCGGAGAGCGGCGGCCCCGGCACCAGAAACACGTCGCGCGACGTCAAGCCGGCGTGGGCCGTCGGCTCCTCAAGCGTGTGCAGGTATACGAGCGCCTTGGCAATGTCCATCGCGATCGCGAGCTTTTCGTTCTTCCACGTCCACGCTGGCGACGCCGGTTGCCGTGCCTTCTTGCCGCCGCTCGAGGTCGCACCCAACTGGGCGTCGAGAGCATCCCGCAGGCTGCCGTGCGGCATAAATTCCGTCACGATGCAGAGGTTCTCGAGAAGATCCCAGCCGACGCCGACGACAGCCGTCATTTGCGGGTGGTTGATGCCCGCCATGATGCGCACGGCGTCGGTGAAGACGACGAGATTCTCGCTTGGCCGCCGCGCGTCCGAGGCGAGTCGCTTGATTGTGACACGCGTTTGGTCAAAGAAGCCAACGAGCACGTCGTAGCCGTCGGCGCTGGCGAGGCGGCGCTCAAAGTGAACGCTCGTGTAGTCGAGTCGCTTGAGGCTGATGGCCGAGTCCACTTGAAAGAGCGCAAGGTCCGGGAAGGCTTCACCGAGGCGCTGGTTGGCGGCATCGACTTCTTGCAGCGAGAGATGGACGTCGTCGACCTCAAGGTACGCGTCCTTGGGAGCCTTGTGCTGCCGCCGCCGCCGGCAGAAAAACACAAGCAAAAGAAGGACGGCGACAACGCCGATAGCAATGCCAATGATGGCACCGGTCGAGATGGATGACGAGGCGGCTGGGGGCGCAAGCGTGACGGGGGCGGGCGCCGTTGTTGCCGTCGACTGGAGCGTTTGCAGCCATGCTGTGAGCTCGGGCGGGGGTTGTGGTCGCTCGTACAAGGCAGCGTTGGCCGCCGTGTACAGCGCGCACGGCACGGTGCTGGACATGACCGCGAGGGACCCGCAGAGGTCGTTGTCCGCGTTGAGGTGGATCGAGTAGGGCATGCCCTCGGCCGTGTTGGCCGTGAGCGTAATGTTGGATTTCAGCGACCCGCCATCGGTCCAGCCCCAGAGCACACCGCTCGGGGCGATCGGTATCGTCGCCGACGACGGAATCCCAGAGGTCGGGTCGACCGCGCACTTGAGCATCGACACCATCACGGGGCAGGTGCGCGTGACGACCTTGTTCTGTCCGCACGGCGAGTCGGGGTTGCAGCTATTGCTCAGGTCGGCAAACGCAATCTGGATGCGCTCCATGGTGGGCGCGCTCGCCTTCCTTGTGTACACCTTGTAGTAGGACGCCCCGGCGCGGACGTAGCCGAGCGCCCAGAGCACCGCGTTCTTGGCCGTCAGCGGCAGCGAGGCCCAAGTGAGGTCCTGCGTCGCCAGCAGCTGGACGACGTCGTCGGGCGGCGCGATCGTCGGCGCGTACGTAGCTACCTGCGGCGCCTGGTTGCGCAGCGTTGCCACGACATTGAGGCTCGAGCTCATGGCCGAATCCCGTCTGGTCGCTCCGGCGGTCGCTTCTTTATCTCTGGTGATTGGTTGAAAACCATCGAAAAATACATCTGATTGGTGCTCACGCCACATACTTGTTATCGCGGTGCATGTCGCAACTGGCCTCGATCCATCAACCGCGCCACGCTGCCAGCCCCTTTACCAAAGTAGCAGCGACCGCTCGCCACCTTCAAGAGCCGTGCGCAGCTCCTTGGACGAGATACAAACCTCGGGGACGAGGCTGCTGGTGCACAGGCTGACGTGCGCGACGTAGTAATGTTCTGGTCAGCAGCCCATCATTGCACTTTGCTCTGCCAGTTGTCGGAACAGGTCATCATCCTCATCCGCAGCAGCTTGGTGGTTGGGCGGCGCACGCTTCCAGCATTCGGTGCTTGCAGTGTATTCCTCCTATTGCAATACTAGTATGTTGCCAATCGCTCGTTCTTGCCCTCTGGCTCTAGAGCGGCGAGCCGCCGGGGTACACCAGCCGGCCTGTCTCGATGCCCTTCTTTGAGGTGCGTGGAGGAAGCCGTACTTCCACAGCGTTCTCTGAACACCCACAGCTGCTCGCGTTTCTCCATGGCTGCAGCACGGCACCGCCTCAACGGTTTGCTCCTGAACTACGCCACCATCAACTCGTTCGCGGTTCTTGGCAAAGGGAATACGACACGTTGTACATGGAATCCCTCAAGCACACGTCGAGACGTTGACAATATCGCGCACGCCTTGGAGGAGCAGCTGTCGGATCATCGTGGTGCGATCGTTGGGCCCGATGCCGAGGTCGTTTTGGAGCTCGCAGACTTCTTGGCGACCGTCCGAGTGCGTCACGAGCACGCGACGACACGTTGAGTTTTCGCACCAGCCGTCGCCGCCCGAGAGGTGCCACGCGTTGCGCACAATGAGCTCGAACTCGTCGTCGTTCTCGATGCCGGCGCTCAGGTCCTTGTAGTACCCGAGAAAGTGGTGCCAGTCGATGGTCTCGGTCGCGTCAAATATCTACGACACCTCTGAACCCTGCCATGGGCAAGGCGAGACCAAACCGAGAGAAACTGGTGCAGGGCCGCGTGTGGCGTGAGCCGACCAGAGAGCACGTCGGGGTGATGCGACGTGTCAAAGCGCGACGCGAGCTCGTCCATCGACACGAGCCCGTCCTTGGACGCGTCGAGGACATTGAAGGCCATGCGGACCAGCAAAATGCGGCGCTTCGCCATACGCCCCTATGGCACACGACTACTTAGACGCTCGCACTTGAAGCGTGCGACGCACACGAAGACCACGAAGGAGCTCGTCCAGCGTGATTCGGCCGTTCCCATCGCGGTCAAAGTACCGAAAAATCGTGTTGAGCTCGTCGCCATCGACATCGGCGGGGTGGGCACCGAGGTCGAGCAGTCCGTTGTGGAATTCCTACGTCCATGTGTCGGGACACATCGCTAAAGCTGATGAAAGCAACCTCCTTGTCGATCGTGTTGTCTCCGTTGGCGTCCATGCGTCGCAGGATCACGAGGAGCGTGCGAATGCCATTTCGGCCACCACTGTCCATAATCAGCGCTTTGACCTAGACGACATGCTCGTGAGTGTCGGCTCGCCTCCGTTGGAAGCTACGCGGTCGACAGCCGAGAGCACTTGCGGCGTTGCGGCGCCGTGCAGGTTGAATATGACCGCAGCAAACTCCGTGTACGAGAGCGTTCCGTCGAGGTCTTGGTCAAAGCGGTCAAAGAGATCCTCGAGCTCGGCCTGGACGCCGACAAAGTTGAGCCGTAGCATCGCGGCCATGAACTCGTGAAAATCGATCGAGCCCGACGCATTGCTGTCAAAGAAGCGAAAGTGCTTCTCGAGGAGCTTGGCCTGCGACGCGCCGTCGCGGTACCCTGACTTGACCTCGAAGAGCTGCCGCAGCTTCTCGACGAGCCCGTCCACGCGCGCCTCCATGCTCCGAGTGATCTTGTGCCAACAGACGCGTGCAGCGATTGGTCGAGGTCCAATATTCGACGCCACGAAATTCGAAGCCAAGAGGTCGACGATTATTAGCTCTTCTACTACTTCTTGGTCGTCTCGATATCCTTGAGGAGCCCCTTCAAGCTGTCGTTCTGGTACGAGGTGGGGTTCTGCGTCGGTGGCGGCGCGTGCAGGTCCCGGAGGTTCGCAACCGACCGCGCCTGCGCCCACTGCATGACAAAGTAGCCGCCGATAATGGGCGTCGTGAAGTAGACGACCTTCATGAAGCGGATGCCCGCGGGCGAGAGCGGGATCCGCGTGCCATGGATCCGCTTCTTTAGGCGCGTGTGAGCGTCGCCGAGGTCTCGGAGCCAGCCCATGCGTGTTGTCGATGATGAAAGACTGCAGTATCCGGAAACGAACCGGAAGAGACTATTCGCACGCAACCACCGTCACTGAACCGTTTGAGAAACGCCAAGGGACCCTCGAGTGAAACCCTCACCCTGGTCAGTGGGGTCGCGCCGATGAGACTGAGACTAATGGCTACTGCCTCACTAATGGACGCGCGTCAGTGAATTAATGGAATCTGTTGTGAGAGAATGCGGCCTACTGGGTGAAGAACAAACACAACGTAGAACTTATTTGCTCCATCGAATCGGCCCGCTTGTCGTGACGTCGAATGATGGAACGACGACGACGGTGGACGACGCCTTTACCTCGTACTTGACGCGAGCTGCGATACGTGCGAGGTCGAGGTCGCGGCCTATCGAAGTGATAGCGGCAGTTTGCCATCTGCAGAGCATTGTGAGCTCGGAGAAATGATGGCAGGTCCAGCTCACCACTGGATCATCCGTTCCGCACTTGTCGACGCGTTTTGCATAGCGCTATCTCGCCAGACAAATCTCACCCGCAGGATGCGCGCCCGTGCCGGCCAGGCACTCAACATTGTCGGCGCCTGCACGCGTCGGCGCCTGCGAAATACCCCTGTCGTGCTTCCGGTCGCCGTCCGCCTCGGCATCACATGGCGACTGGATCTCGTTTCTGGTGCTGCCACGCCACCAATCCACCTCTGCCAGGCCTGTGATTGGTCAGCTAAAGTGACTCCATCCGTGCGGATTGGTCTGGATCTCAGCCGTGCCAGCAGTTGAAGGCCCTTTTTTGGCAGTCGCAGATTTCCGATGAACCACGAGAACGTCGAAGCGCTCTTGGCAACGCTGTCGGCCGGCGGGACGAAGCTCTCGGACAGTCTCTCGAGCATGAACATCAACCTCAAGACCATCCGGCACTCGCTCAGCACTGCCGCCAAGTGGCGGCAGCTCGGCTACAGCCCGTTCGTACCGGACGCCGCGGGCTTCACCGCGCTTCACCGCGCCGCGCTCAAGGGCGACGCGACGCTCATCAAGTCGCTCCTTGGGACGTACGAAGGCAACCTTGTCGACTTTTGTCTCTTGGGCACGAAGAAGCAAGGCCACACCGCCATGCACATTGCCTGCAAGCACGGCCACGTCCCAGTGATCAAGATGCTCTTGACTGTGCCCAAGGGTGCACAGCTCCTCCTCGCGAGCGACGTCCACGGCAACACGCCTCTGCACTTTGCAGCGACGTCGTCGGCACCCGACGCAGGCCATGTACTCGAAGTGATTTTGCCGCAACTGCCGGCGGATCGGCTCAACGACTGCAACGGCCACAGCCTGAGCCCGCTCGCCGCCCACATCTTGACGGCGACCGTCGACCACGCCGAAGTGACGCGCCTCTTTCTCGAGCGGCGCGTCGACCCGAACGCATGGGTGCGCCGCGAGAACACTCTCTTGCACGTCGCGGTCGAGCGCAAGCTTTGGAAGATTGCGGGCTGCCTCGTTGAGTTTGGCGCCGAGTGGAACGTGCCCGACAACCACAACCGCATGGTCACCGACCTTACGTCCGACAACGAGCTTTCGTTCCTCGTCAAGTTTGTCGCCAACTGCAAGGAGTGGGCGACCGCGGTCCGGCACGAGTGCCAGTCGTGCAGCCGCCGCTTTACGTTTTTCCGGCGCCGCCATCACTGCCGCCTCTGTGGTCGCATTCTCTGTGGCAAGTGCACCAAGCATCGTCGACGGCTCTTCCTCAGCGGTAAGGACAAAGCCACCGACGCCCGCGTCTGCCACGTGTGCGTCGCCGTCATCCACGACGAACACAGCGGCAACAGCGCGACAGACGTGACGCTCGACGACCCGACGAGCTTGCTCGAAGCGTCGGCCATCATGGGCGCGTCCGGCGTCGGCGGCCGATCCGGCGTCCTCGAGGCCTCGGCCCTCGAGCAATCAACCTTTATGATGGAAGACGACGCGTCGTACAGCCGCGTCGACGCGTAATCCGATTCTAAATAGAGTATTTATCACGGATGTACAGATTGTCATATCGAGGACAGACCGAGGTCGGCGACCATGCCCCTCCCAAATGCAAAAGTATTCAACGCGGGAATGTGCATCGAGAGGGCAATGAGGTTTCCTTGCAATGTGCTCTGGACATGGTGCACTGCGCGTCGTGTTTGTTGCGCTACTCCCGAAGGACCCAAGGAGGCTCGCTTCCTGCCACTCGTTCAAGGCGCGACCGAGAGAAGGCAATGTATATGCAGGACAGGAGTCGTGTATTTGACGTCAAAACAACCACAAATTTACACTTGGTAGCCGCCGTGCGTCGGCAGCATCATCGGGCCGCCGTCCTTGAGGCTCTTGAAGTAGTAGTACAGAAAATCGCCCATCATGATCATGTGGCCAATCTGCACGAAGATGACCGTGTACCCGACGTGGTGGCCGGCCTCCTTCTCGCCCAACTCGTGGTACGAGAACATCCAAAACCACTAGAGACAGTGACGTGAGCACCTCGTTCGACGACGCAAGCACGTACGAGGTGGAGGAACGAGCCAAACGCGAGCGCGTAGACCCAGTGCGAGATGCACGATTCGACGGTACCGCCGCCACGCTTTTGAAACATAAAGAGCTGCGGCAAGATCGCAACCGCCTACGTACAAGAGGATGAGCGCCGGCGAGAGGCAAAGGATGCGTCGAGCCTCAATGTAGAGCGCGATCGTCCACGAGACGTCGGCAAACCAGTTCATGTTGAGGTTCGGGTGGATGAGCTATGGTGGCACCTGGTAAGCCCAGTCTGGAGAGCGAGCGTACCATGCCGAGGAAGATGCACGGGCCAAGAATGTATGCAATGCCATACTCGGACGGGATGTGGAGAAAGCCAAAGGTGTCGTAGCGGAACTCGTACGAGCCGCGGAACTGCACCGTGACGAGGAAGATGACGCCCAGCGTCAAGGCGAGGCCGACAAACTCAATAAACGTGTAGAGCCAGTCGCCGCTGCGGTCGTACGGCAAGTAGCCTTGGTAGCGCAAGATCGAGCAGAGGCGGAAGAAGAAGACAAACGCGTACAGCTGGAGCGTCTTGAGCGAGAGGCCCGAGACCGAGCGCTGCGTGAGCGACTTGAAGATGAGGATGCCAAAGCCAAAGGCGCGGACAAAGGCGCCAAAGGTCTACGGCGAGGCCATTAGAAGCCATGCGTGGCGACGCATGTACTGTACCATGAGGAACGAAAAGTCGCCGTCGCTAAAGAGGTGGTAGGCAAAGATGACAAAGACAAAGAAGCCTGTCCAGAGCGCAATGTTCCCCTTGTGCTTGGTCACAAAGTGCCTACGCCAGGATGAGCCTTCCATTCGCTCCCGCATGACGACGTACGACATGGCGGGCTTGTCCTTGAGCATGCTGCTGCTGGCGGCTTCGAAAGTTTTTCGGGACTGAGCTTGAGCCGCAAATTGCCGGCGCCGGATACCATCCGGAACCGCACACGTGGCCTCGTGCCAGCGCGCATAAACGGTCCGGTTGGCGGAAGGGCCGGTGCCCAGCTGGGTTCGATCAAGAGGGAATTCCCTGGATCTTCCTGCATCGAACGATGCTTATGGACAACGGAATGGCGGCGACTGGGTGGGCGTTCGGCGCCTGGCGAACATGGTAGGGACTCGACGATCTGCCTCGGACGTGTCTGAGTCGATCGTGTCAACGCCGTGACGGATCAGATGCATGGCCGCCGCGTCGTAGGTACGCGACGCCGTCCATTGGCCTTTGATGCCGAGAGGTAAAGCTGCCTCGAATCGCAGCGAGCAAGGGCGAATGCGCCGCGAGAAGACCCGGGCTCAGCGCCAAGCCGCTCAGACACGACGGGGTGCCATCGTCGAGCAGGGATGATCCCGTTATTTCAGCAGCAAACAAACGTCCATGCGGCCCAACACGATCGCACACATTTTGACCATCGAGCAGCGTACGCGTCGCTGGCGCTACCCAAACGATGCACTTTAGGACCGCTGCACATGCTATACCATCGCTCGATCGGCCTTCCACGGACCGAGGCGTTCGTGGCGGTGCATGTTCCGACGACCCATGCGTCAATCGAATCGACTTGCTGGCACCGTTGACACGCGGTCCCCTTGCAGTGGTCGGTGTTGTCGTGAAGGTTGCTCGCAACGACCAGGGCTTTCCCCCAAGGCGCCATTCGCGATATCGTAGGTGGCGTCTGGCCATCTCTAGCACGTGCTGCTGCACACCGAAGCGATGTGTCGTCCAGATATGGAGCTTATCGTCGTTTACGCAGCTCATCCCGGCATTCCACGCCATTAACACCCTCTCAAATCGAGCCGAAGTCCTTCATGCATGACTACACGCGTCGTCGACGGTACCAGACGCCGCCACGAGCGAGCAACGAAGCGGTGGAAGATAAACAATAGCATCATCAACCTTGCGGCCGTAGTACCCATACCAAACCAAGGCTACTCCTTTGGACGCTCCTGGTTAAACGGAGGCACCGCCAGAGTCTGGCGCTTCCAGAGCCAAATTCCGCACTGCCACACGTCGCGGGTTCGACGCGAGACGAGTGGATGCGGCCGCGCGACAACGACGGTGCACGGCTCGCGATGCTTCGGGAGCGCTCGCGAAGTGGCACGGATACGCTGCGGCCGCTCGCTTTGACGACGTTGTGACCCAACTCGTGCATGCGAAGTCGTTGTAGTGGGGTGCGAGAGATGGCTGTCTTTGCTGCCAGCGTCCAGGGCCTCGACGCCGCAGTTTGATCGGCGCCGGCAGAAGGACGATCATGTCCATATGCTTGGGCCATGTTGAAGACAGCCTTGAGTCACGGGTTGATTACTGGGCCTTGGCGGGTCTCTGCAATCAACGTGACGGGGCGCCGCCAATGCAACATCGGAATCGGAAAGGCTGTCGTCCGCGCCTCCCCTCGCTGCAGCGCCACGCACCCCGCGGGGCCTCTCCGTGCATTTGTCCTTGATTTGCGCTGGTTATCTCCTCACGCCGCGACGACGATGCGTCGGTAGAGGAACCCGACGGCGTGCGCGCACCCATCTACGTTACGGTACCAGTACGCAGCAGCCTTTTCTGCATGAAACCTCGGACCAAGTAGACCAAGCCGTCACGAGTTGGTGTCCGCGCCCCTTCCTCGGCGCCAATTCCCAAGCGAATCCAACGTAAAAAAACGTAAAAAACGCACCCGCTTTGCGAGTGATGCAGGGCGTGCATTGCGATGGCTGGCGCTGCGACGCGCGATGATTTCGCAGGCGACGCTTGTGGGCACCGTGCGTCGGGCGACCGGCCATCTGCTCGGGTGCACCTTGAAGCATTGGGGCGCCGCGTCCTGTGACAAAAATGACGTCAACGGAGCGCTCGAATGACTAAATCGCACTTTACCGAGCGCAGGGCCCTACCCCTCGGCCGCGATCGCGCAAGCGCCAGCTTGGTCGAGCGACCTGGTTCAGGCTGCGAGGCGACGCGGTCAGGCATCCCACGCGCGCCAATCTTTAGCGGCAAGTGACCAATCAGAAGCCAGCGCCATGCGTTGGAGCGTTGGCGTGACGCTGCCACGCCACCGTGGACGTTGCCGCCAACGGAGAAGCCAATCAGACGCGCGACCGCGTGATCGGCGTTGACGAAACGTGGCACGTCGGCGCGGCTCTGTTCTTGTGGCGAACTTCCTTTGTTCCATCGAACTCGCTCGTTTCGTCAACGGCCTCGGCGCGATCTTCGCAACTTCAAGGTCGAAGATTCTCGTGGGCTCCCACGTCATCGTACTTAGTGGGGCCGGCGCGCGCGCCGCCTGGGAGAGAACCCGCGACGGAGCAAGCAGCTCACTTTTCATTTCGCTCCGTCGGACGCACCCGCTTCACACCATGGTAGTCGGCGCTCTTGTCTCCAGCAGTCGCTCACGCCTTCCTGTAGGCTCCTGCCCAGAACACCCAAGGCTTTGCCGTCATGCATGCCCCCAACTTGAACAAGGTACTCAGTTCTGAGTTGTTGAAGCGATGTCTCACATGGTCGAAGGGCCTGGAATTCACGGAAGACGAACGCGAGGCGCAGAGCCTCCGCGGCCTCCTCCCGCCGGCGGTCTGGTCGCCCGAGCTCCACTTGGAGCACGCGATGGCGCAGTTGCGCTCCAAGGCGACGCCGATCGAAAAGTACATTTACATGCAGAGCATGCAGGACCGCAACGAGCAGCTGTACTACCGCATGCTCGCGCAGCACACGCACGAGCTCATGCCGATCGTGTACACGCCGACGGTCGGCCAGGCGTGCACGGAGTTCAGCCACATTTACCGCCAGACGCCGCGCGGCCTCTACATCTCGATCAACGACCTGGGCCATGTGCGCGAGATCCTCGACAACTGGCCCGAGGAGGACATCCGCGCGATCGTCTTTACGGACGGCGAGCGCATCCTCGGCCTCGGCGACCTCGGTCTCAACGGCATGGGCATCCCGATCGGCAAGCTCGCGCTCTACACGGCGTGCGCGGGCGTCCACCCCAAGTACTGCCTCCCCGTCACGATCGACGTGGGCACTAACACGCAGAGCATCCTCGACGACCCGTTCTACATGGGCCTGCGCCAGAAGCGCGACCGGTCGTCGGCGTACGACGAGCTCATCGACGAGTTTATGAACGAGGCCAAGGCCAAGTACGGCCCGCAGGTGCTGCTCCAGTTTGAAGACTTTGGCAACACGAACGCGTTCCGCCTCCTCCACAAGTACCAGGAGACGCACTGCACGTTCAACGACGACATCCAGGGCACGGCCTCGGTCGTCCTGGGCGGTCTCTTTGCGGCCGAAGAGATGACCAAGAAGCGCCTCTCGGAGCACACGTTTGTCTTTATGGGCGCGGGCGAAGCCGGCACGGGGATCGCGGACCTCATCGCGATGGCCATCACGCAGGAAGACCCGGAGAAGAGCATTGAAGACGCACGCCGCCAGATCTCGCTCGTCGACTCCAAGGGCCTCGTGGTCGCCAGCCGCCTCGAAGAGCTCCAGCACCACAAGATCAACTACGCCCACGAAGTGGAGCCGGCAAGTACCTTGATCGAGACCATCGAGCGTGTCCGCCCGTCCGTGCTCATTGGCGTGTGCACGATCGCCAAGACCTTCAACCAGGAGGTCTGCGAAAAAATGGCCGAGCTCAACGAGCGTCCCGTCATCTTTGCGCTCTCCAACCCGACGTCCAAGGCCGAATGCACGGCCGAAGAGGCCTACACGTGGACCAACGGCCGCTGCGTCTTTGCGAGCGGGTCACCGTTCGACCCTGTCACGTTCAACGACCAGGTGTTTGTGTCCGGCCAGGGCAACAACGCGTACGTCTTCCCGGGCATTGGCCTCGGCGTCGTCGCGGCCGGCCTCACGCGCGTCGACGACACGATCATGCTTGTCGCGGCGCGCACGCTCGCAGACCGCGTCACGGAAGAGGACCTGGCGACGGGCAGCGTGTACCCGCCGCTCTCCAAGATCCGCGAGGTCTCGCTGTACATTGCCGCGGCTGTCGCCGAGTACGGCTTCAAGCAGGGCTACGCGACGATCGACGAGCCGTCGAGCTGGACCGAGCTGTGCCAAAACGCCATGTACAACCCTTAATTCCACTGCGTCTTTTCTTCATTGACTACGTGGCAACGCGACGATGCTTGGAGCTTGGGCGATTCGAGTCTATGGCAGGAGGCGCTCGAGGAGCTTCTTTTGCGCGTCCGAGAGCTGCGACGGGAACTGGATGCGGTGGAGCACGTGGAGGTCGCCGGCGTTCGAGGGAAAGTTGTGGTGCGGCATGCCTTCGCCATGGAGCGTGCGCACCTGGAACGGCATCGTGACGTCGTCGGCGTCGATCTTGACGCGGCGGCCGTCGAGGTGCACGAGGTCTTTCTCAAACCCCAAGAGCGCGTCACGAAGTGAGACCGTGATCTCCGTGTGGAGGTCGTCGCCCGCCCGCCTACATTCATCGATATAGGCATTTGAGATAGAAGCAAGCGCGTACCGGAACGTCTTGTGCGGCTGCTGGACGAGACGCATGATGACGTTGCCCGGAATCATACCGGGCCGCTGCTCGCTCTCTCGCTCAAAGACGATTTCGTGGTTGGACGGCATGCCCCGTTCGATGACGCCCGTGATGATCTTCTCTTCCGCGACCACCTTGTTGCCGTGGCAGTGCGGACACTTGTGCTTGAACGTCTTGCCCTTCCCGCCGCACTTGGGACACTGCTGCTGCATTTGCACGGTGAACCCTACACCGAATATGCTGATAAAGGGCGATCGTCGAGGGTAGTACCGGGGCCCATTTGCTGCTGCACAAGCACGATGCCTTGGCCACCGCACGTCTTGCAGGGCTTGGTCTGGACGGTGGCATGAGCATCAATCGCAGACATGGCGTCGATGTCGTACCTTGCCGTCCTTGGCACCACTACCACGACACTTGCGGCAAATGACATTCTTCATGAAGCGCGCTTGCTTCTCGGCGCCGTTGTAGAGCTCTTCCAGTGTGACGGGAATGTCCACGGTCGCGTCTGGGCCGCGCGGCTTGCCACCGCCACCGCCAAAGAACGCATCTACAACAGGGCTCGCGCATCGCTCTTGCGCATGAAACACGTACCAAAAGGACTCGCGGGGCGGCCCGCCTGGTTGGTGTGGCGTTCCAAGCCTTCTTCGCCTTCGAGGTCGTAGATGTCCCGTGTCTCAACGTTGGAGAGCACTTCATATGCCCGCGAAACCTTTTGGAACTTGGCCTCGGCGTCTGCATTCCCCGGGTTCTTGTCGGGATGGTACTGCAAGCTCAGGCGACGGTACGCCTTCTTGATGTCGCTCTCGGACGCGTCCATACCCAAGCCCAAGACTACACATGCCACGTCGAGTTGCATGACACATGATGGATCGGCGTCGTACTGTCATAGTAGTCGTCATGATCATGATGGTGATGGTCATGAGCCAGCACGAGCAGGAGGCCGGCCAAGAGCGCGACGAGGTAGACGATCAGCCGCATGCTACGGAGAGGAAGGCAACTCGAAAATGACGGGGCCACGTTTCGCGAAAAGCTCCGTAAGATATCCGAACCTGTCCGGATAGGTAAAAGCGCACCTTTTCCTCAAATCCGCACTGAATTCCCAAAAGCGCACCGTATTGGTGTGATGGGCATGAAAGCGCACCCGACGCGATCGCACCTCGGTTGCTGGGGGGTTGCATGCATGCGTATCGCTGCGTATATTACGCCGCGAGTGTAATGGACGCACTCGGCCTTTGCTTGCTCTTGTCCACGAGTGGCTGGTTTCGACGAAGTGCGTCTTGTTGCCGTCGCGCCAAACTGGCTCGCGGCGCTGGCGCCAGCCATCTCGCCACGTCAACCCTTCCGCGCCTCTGCTTTTCTCAACCGACCACCGTAGCGGAGCTCTTACAGCTCGTAAGTTCACACTTGCCAGTACTCGTGGGTGGTTTGCTGGCAGCGTCCATCGTGCAAAAGCGAGCGCTCGTTACGGCTGTCTTGATCGCCCAGCACGCGTGTTTTTTGGTGACGGGCTGCGCTACCGAAGTAGGGGGCCGTATGTAATTTAAAGCCTCCTGGATCTACGACATACGAATGGGAAGATATGCTTTTACAATTTGATGGGCGGTGGGGGGGACGGTCGGGAAAAGAAGTGGCACGCCACAAAGCTTGATGCTGAAGTTACACACGAGCCGCGCCAGCTGGCGCTGGAAGCGTGCGATTCGACCATTTTGCATTGCCTGTGCAATCGATCCCCTTGCCACACTTTCATCGCCGGCCAGTTGACTCAGCATGCAGCATGCGGACCGGCCCGTACGACGGGGCAGCCTCCTGTCCCAGTCGTCCCACCGCAGCTCGCGCCGCGACGACGACATGGTCGGCTCCTTTATGAGCGACAGCGGCAGCTACGCGCGCTCGAGTCGGCGGCACCCGAGCCAGCGCGCGGTCGCGATGCCCGGCCAAGCGGCCACGACCGGCCACTTGCAGACGCAGCAAATATTGGCCAATTCGGGCCGCGCGAGCACGTACCGGAATTCGACCGCCACCTCGTCGTCCGTCGCCAACACATTGACGCGCTCGGTGCAGTCGGGCGTCGCGATCTCAACGATGCTGTCGCTCGCGGCCGGCGTCGAAGACATCGGCAACGTCCAGGAAGTGCACTGGGAAGGCCACGTGCGGAAGAAGGGCGACTGGCTGCCGCGCTGGGAGCCGCGCTACCTCGTGCTCGACGGCACGACGCTGACGTACTACAGCAAGCAGCACGACGCGCGGTCTGGCAAGAACCTCCGCGGCCGCATGGTGCTCACGTACGTCGGGCCCGACTTTAAGGGCAAGAAGGCCCACGGTTTTATGATCGAGACAAAGGGTCACAAGCGCTTCCACCTCTGCTGCGCGACCGAGCTCGAGAAGGACATGTGGGTCGAGATGATGCAGACAGCGCTCGACGAAGCGAACGGCGCGGCCAACAAGCCGGCGCAAGACGACGACTTCATGTCGTCGCCGTCGTACGACCTGTCGCGGTCCGGGCCCGTCTTGCCCAAGAGTGCGACGCGCAGTGGGTGCTCGCCGGCCTCGTCAATTGGGCACACGACGTCGCTGGCGTCGCCCGTCAACGTGCGCGACTTTTACGACGCGATGCGGCAGCTGCTTCTCACGCACTCGTCGTCGGCGCAGTTCTTTCCCAAGCTCAGCCGCGACGTCTCGATCACGAGCAACTACGCGCCGACCGTGCCGTTCTGGGGCGAGTACCACGGCTTGGACGGCGTCTTGCACTACTTTTCCATCTTGTACGAGACGGTCGCGTTCACGTCCTTCTTTGTGACCGACATTGCGCAGTCGCAAGAGGGCTCGACCGCGATCGTCGTCGGCCGCGAGACGATGCGCAACAAGACCAACCACCGCAAGTTCACGCAGCAGTGGACGCATACGATCGAGTTCTCCAAGAACGGCCGCGTCAAGCACATCCACATCGCGGCCGACCCGGTCGCGGCCTCGGCGGTCTTTGGCTGCAACGCGACGTCGAGCCTCAGCCTTCCGATCGCAGCCGTGCTCGGGGCCGCGCACAGCGACACGCCGCCCGGGCGTATCCACGTGCACCTCGTTCGTGGCGACCAAATCGGCGGCATCACCGACTTTGAAGAGGATTTAGCGACCAACGACAGCCTCCTCGAGACGCCCGGCAGCAAGTACATTGTCGATGTGAGCGTCATGGCCGACGCCGGCGGGTACCTCCCCACCGCGCTTCTCAAAGCCACGCACCACGTCCAGACGGGTCGATCGAAGGACTCGTCGACGTCGACCGAGCCATTGTGGGACACACACTTGGTGGTCCCCTTTGGCGGCGCGACCCACGGCAAGCCGTGCTGCGTCGTCTTGCAGCTCTTCAAGGACCGTCGTCGCCGCCGCTCGAGCAACGCGCCGTCCATGGTGCTCTCGCCGCTGGACGAAGAAAGCCCTCTCGGCAACGAGTCGACCATGATGCAAAGCGGTCGAGCCAACGATGGCATGGAGCTCATCGGTCTCGCCAAGGTCAACCTCGCGCCGTTCCTCGCGCTCGCCAAGACCGACGACGGGTACACGACCATGCCGCAGTGGTACACGCTGCTCGCGCCGGGCGACACCAAGTTTGCGGTCGGCCGTCTCGAGCTCAGCCTCTCGTTTGAAGAAGCGTCCGACATGTTCGATGCCGAGTCCGACTACATGGCGTCGCCGTGCACCGAGGCGTCGTATCACTCGGACACGTCCTCGAACGTCTCGATCAACCGCCACAAGGCGTACCGGGACCGCGCGCGCAACAACGTGTCCTTCAACGTCGGCAACACGGCCTTTGACATTCCGAAGCG